CACTTGTGAATTTTATAGGAAGGTTTGAATTTCTGACTTCAAAAAATATAGCTCAAGTCACCTGACCTCTACCTCAGTTCTGATCAGCACTAATCAGTCTTCTGGAATTCCATTCAGATTCCGGTGGAATCCATTGGAACTCCATTCAGAATCCAGTGGAATCCATTGGAACTCCATTCAGAATCCAGTGGAATCCATTGGAATTCCATTCAGAATCTGGTGGAATCCATTGGAATTCCATTCAGAATCCGGCGGAATCCACTGGAATTTGAGATTCCTACCCTTCCGGCGGACTCCGGATGGAATTCTGACATTCTATGGGAGTCCGCCAGAACTCATGGGGGAGGGTAAAGTACTGATGAAAAGCCGAGGTAAACTTGGCAAATAAAAATGAGACGGCTGTGGGCTGATCCACAATGCATGGGATTTAGAGCTCTTCAGCTGACCCATGACACATGTTGAGCCCAATCCATGAAGAGATCGGTTGACCCAGGATCCAAGGCATTTTTAGCTATGTCAATTCATGGGGTACACTTCTCAGCCGATGCACAGTACCAGTCCTAAGAGAGTCTTGATGGCCGGTCCACCTTTGATGGGGTCAACTGATCCATGGGCTCATCAGCAGGCACCATCAACTATGGTCTGTTTGTATGGTCGGGGGGCTCAGTATTAGTGGGGTAAGGTAACTAATACTTGTGAAGGTGACGACAGCACATTCTCGGTACAATGCGCTGGGCTTCAACACTTCTGAGGCATTGCATCGGGAACTTGGGTCGGTTGCATGGGGACTTTGAATGGCGTTGGGATGAAAAGGGCGTGTAGCATGGATTGCATAGCTATTTCTGGGGACGTGAAGAAGATTCGAACGATGGGCTGGAGGATAACGTAGCTAGGTACTATCAGAACATATCGCGCTGCAATGCAAATGAAACTCACAGGACTATTCCGAAAGGTGCAGAACGTATCGTCCAATCGGCGGTGAAGAGAGCTGAGATGGTGTCGACTCTGCTTATGCCTGGACACATGCTTACAGCGACGATGTTTCACTTTTGCGCTTTAGTGTTGACCACAGGGACAGAGGACGAGCCTTCTTCCAGTTCAGGTAACTGTGCAGATGGGAGTGCATCTAGAATACGTTGTAGATGTCGTGTGACGATAATGTTTTGTAGAGAACGAATGCCCTCCCTCAGGAAGACAGACCTTTTGGGAAATCGAAAAGAGGTAAGAGGGTAGCGGCGGCTGCATAAAATGGGTTGACGACGTTGATAGTTCGAATGTCCCGTTCCACAGGAGCAACCGGGAGCGCTGGCAATAGCAGCGTGGTGATCAAGAATGTCGCTAAAGAACCCGCATTTCGCTCCTTTTCTTTGTCCAAACGTGAGACGAACGAGCCAATTTGGTGGTACTCGTGCGCGAAAATGATAGTGCCGATTCTCTGACCTTGTCTGGTGAGAAATCGGGTACAGAAAGAGCGTATGGAGGTGGGTGAAGAGACATCACATTTGTCTGCGAATATTTGTTCATTCGAAGTGGTTGTGCGGAGGACATTGATCAAAATGGTTACGTTGGCATAGTCGATTGGGTCTGGGGAAAGAGCGATTAAGTACGTGGGCTCTGCGTTGGGCTAGTGATTGGAGAATTGTCAGGCCCAGTGGTGTAAATCCGCCCTAGATGGTGTTCTCAGCGGTCAAACCACAGAGCAATGTGAAATGCAGTTGTGCTCACCGTTATCAGCACCGTTCTGGCATGTAGACCTCGTTCACGGGTCGTTCATCGGCCTTGGCAGACGGCATGTACGACTACAATCCCAACGACGATGTATTGAGTCGGAAAGAATGAAGACGTGAAAGCTTCTGCAATTTTGGGGACCATGAGATACTCAGAGAGTGTTTGTAGCCCTCACTGGGCCATGTTGTCCGTGGAGGGTGGTAGAAACAATGAGGAAACAGTTGTCACCATTGTCACTTGCAACTTGTTCCCAACTCCGACAACCCAACATCTGTTGAACTCGGCCGCCATTACCTATAACATTCAACGATGAACCCTCGTACTTAATGTACAAATGACAGGGGAAAATAAGCCAAGAACACAATGGACGCCGCTTTCCACGATCGGATTCACCATGGAGCACGAATCTTGTGAAACCGCACAGCATTGTGACGCGTCGTGGACGACGAGAGGATGCGAGAACATTGCATAGGACTACCGTAAGCGATTGTACTCCTTGAAAGACTTCTACATCTTACTATTGGTGCAGTCTTCACGTCCAACGACGTTGGACGACTCGATTGACAGGTACACAAGGGCATCAGTGATCACTCATGCAAACATCCGTGAAGCTGGTGCTGAAACGCACCATGGTGTTGCGAAGGTGTTTTTCCGTGGTTCCATTGTTCGTTTGGAACCGCTAGTTGACTTTATCGATCGAAAACGTCGACTTCGAGCAGGAGATAGCACTGAGGTCTTACATGTGCAGCAGACAGCCCAATTGTGCACATCGCTTCAAGGCTGGTATCCAGACATGGTCGGGACAAGAAGTTTCATTCATGATCAAAAGGTGAGTTTTGAACTTGATGATAAAGCGCACCAGAGAAAAGGCTTTTTTACTGAATTTCCGTGTGTTCAGTAGATAGCGATTAGTCGGCAGCCGTTTACATGGAATCGCCTCCAAAGCCTCAGGGAGTTTCTTGTGCTCCGACTTTTGTAAAATTGTTGCCGCGGGAATCCTGCCAGTGGGAGCCAAACCGTCAAGAAGTTCAAACTGGTGTGGTTTGGAAGAACACCCTTATCGTCGGATGCGCCATTCTGGCTGGTTGATTAGGGGACCTTTGCTTTCCTTTCAATTCCTCGCTCAATGTGGCAGGCTGAGGTACTGCTGAAGGGGCCCAAGTGGCATGCAGAGTGCAGTTTTCTTGCTCAACCACTCAAATGTCGATTGGACACTTCATTCTAGTTGAACGCCCTCTATGAATGTCTCTGTGAGTCCACTCACATCGCTTCCTGGTATCTATCGAATAAACATCATCTCCCTGCCTCCCTAAAAGATTGCTCTGGACGTTCTCCTTATTTTCGTCAAGTTGATTACGTAAGGAATTAAATAATTTCTCTGAAAATTTCTGACAGCTTTCTTCAGTGAACATCTATAGCCCCATCTGCTCGAGAACGGCAGGTACAATGACCTTGGGTTTCACGATTACGTTTATCCCTTCTCTCGTCACTCTTCGCAGGCCGATATCGGAAGTGCAGACCACCTCATCTCCATCATCCGACTCATTCCCCTCAGCGTAATCATTATCCATAAACTCATCATCAAAGTCGGTTCCTGATGGTATCAAAAACGTCTCCAGTCGCTCAGGCGATCTATCCTCTCCGAGCATGACGTGGAGACGAATGGCTAGCGTTGCCACGATCGAAAGTTTATCCTCAAAGGACTCCGCGTTAAGGAGCAGTCTTTCGACCAACCTGACAGAATTAGGATGTTGAGGAGAGAGCTGCACATGAACTCTATCATCTGGGTTTTTCTGTTATCTGATGGACCGAGTCGTGCGCGGGTGACGGCGCGCCATCTCTCAGCGGCTTTTGGTTCTTCTATATCACTTCTGTCAGTCATTGCAGCTGACGGTGAGGGTTGGATGCTTACTAACTCCTTGAATCCTCGAATACAGCGTCTCCAAGAAGGCGTCATATTCCCAATGACATGGATACCACGACGTGATGAGGCGGTTGCAGCAGTACGCCAAACACATCTGGAAGGCGATCTGAAGCGCGCCCTCTTCCCGAAAACCCGGCTCTTGGCACCATCAACCTCAGAACCGTCACGTTCACGTCCTTTGGCGTGAATTTCCTGGACCCTGAGATAGGGAGGTACACATATACTGCGGTGAGTCATCCAGTGATGCTTACATCTACAAAAACCTTACGTGAATCGAAAAGTTATGTCGGGGTGTGATCGTCCCACAATCTGAAAACGGCGTACTGCGTATCCATCCATAGCTCACCGTCGTCATCGCCTCCCATAGCCTAACTGATAGTTAGGAACGTAATTGGGCCATGTAAGGTGGGATTACTAGACGTGATTGACAATGGGCTACTGACACCTTCCTTCTTTTCCGATAGTTTTCCAGCCAATACTAAACCACTTTGAAACTACTAGGAGTGGATTGGCAAATCCACTTTTAAGAGGGGCTGTAACTCGCTCATATAGTAAACGGCGTCAAAGGGTGGGTGGGTGTATGGGTACCACTGTGTCCTGCGCAGAAACTCTCCATGCACTCCATAATCCTCGGTCAGCACATCATCCCCTCCAACCATAATGTGATGTAGACAAGAGCGGTCACGCTAACTTGCGAAGTGAGTTCCAATCGTCGGATCCAAGCTCGTATGGGAAGAAGTGAATGAAAGGAAATGTGTCGTTGACGCCTCGAAGTCTACGTCGGAGAGGCAGCGCATTCAGGCTTCCCCGGGACTTGTCCGTGACCAGGCTGTGAGGGTAACAAGACGTTTTGTGCCGATAGGCAGGAGGAGAGAGCAACGGAGGGCCGTGGGTGATGATAGTGAAGGTCGTTCTATGCGCCAATCGTTCCAAGTCCGACGTCCTTGATGAGGAACACAATAATTAAATGTTTAACCCTCCGTTGACAAGAAGATATCCACCAAAATATATTTTGCAATGCATGATGAAAGCCATTATGATGAGACTGGGATTCGAACCCACAGAGCAGGCGTTGAACAACGTTGATACACATACAATGGTCCTGGTCCCTAGTCTGGCGCCTGAGACCACTCTCTACTTTCATCCTACACATCTATCAAGAAATCCTGCCTTCACGACGCAACACCACTCACTCATCCAGCAACAACGCCGCCCACCCCCTCCCAAATCCTAAACCGCCTAACCCCCTCACCGCCCCACGGAACCTCCTCATCCCAATGTGTAATCACAACAACCGCCTGTCCCTCTCCAACACCACCTTCAGTGGTCAAGCATCTCCGCACGGCACAAATCATGCCCTCGTCCATCCCACTCCATACCTCGTCGAGAAGCACCAACGGGGGCCGGGATACCAAAGCACACATGAGGACAATACGCTGCTCGCCTGGTGAAAGGGCCGTGAACCTTCAACCTACGCACTGCGAATTGTGTTTCCGTCTCTGATAGGCTCGTGGGCCAAGTGCTGATAAGATGTCCCAGCATCAATCAATTCGCCACTTTTCTATTTCCCGCCGCCTCTGTTCCTTCTCCACGCCACTACACTAGTGGTATACACTCTTATGATAAAAACCAGACACATGCCTGGAAGGCGATGTGTATAATGCCTAGAGGTTCAATGAGACAACTCATTATTTTGTCTAGTATTTTCATTCATTAAGTTCCCTGTGTATTTCATTTGGTTTTTTCATTAAATGGCCTAAGTGATCTCATTAATATTGTATTGCGATTTCCTGCAATATTTCATTCATTATCTCTGGATATCTCATTTTGCTTTTCATATGAAAGCCTGGCGCTTTCAATGAATATTTCATTCTTAGCTCCAGGACATTTCATTGGAGTTTTCATATATATATCTGGCGCTTTCATTGGATATTTCATTGTTAGCCCCAGGATATTTCATTGTGCTTTTCATCTGAATGCCTGGCGCTTTCAATGGATATTTCATTCTTGTTCCTAGGATATTTCATTGCACTTCTCATAGATATACCTGGTGCTTTCATTGGATATTTCATTGCTAAACCCAGGATATCTCATTGTGCTTCTCATTTGGATGCCTGGCGCTTTCAATGGATATTTCATTCTTATTCCTAGGAGATTTCATTGCACTTTTCATATGTGTACCTGGCGCTTTCTATGAATATTTCATTTTTAGCGGCAGCTGACCTTTCAGGGTCCAGGGTGCATTTCCAAATGTAAAATAGCAATAAAATCAGGAAAAATTAGGGCTCATTGCTGATCATCATGTTGGGTAACATTGTCAGGGTCCAGGATCCAGTTCCAAATATGGTAATATATCCAAAAATAGCCAGAAAAATAGCAGAAAAATTGAATATATATAAAAATGGTGTACAGAACATCAGGCACTGCCTTCAGGGTCCACTTCAGGTTCCATCCCAAAAGGGAAATATCACCTGGTTTGACCAAAAAGTGAAGAAAACCAAGCGGAGAATGATTTTACCTATCAGGGTCCATGTAATGGGATGTTGGGATGATGGTCACATGACCAATTACCAAAAATGGTCAAAAACAAAAGTTGTAGCCCTACACTGTAGCTTCCTGAATCTGTTTGAATTATGTTCTGAAGTGCTCCCATTGTGGAGATATGAGGTAAAGGAATCCCAAAAGTGTCGTGTTTTTTTTTGTTTTTTGCATTTTTCTCCATGAAAACAAAACCAAACAATATGATTTCAGTATATTTAGAAAGCTAAAAGAAAGGGCTACAACTATTGTATTGTGGGAAAAATGACCAAAAAAGGAAGGTGCATGCCCTAGAAAAGGAATGGTCAGATATAGACTACCAAGTTTACTGATAGACTACAAAAAAGTCGGACTCAACTACAAAG